CTGTACTGCACTGTGCACTCTGATATTTTAATTATTTAATGTTGATATCGTTAAACTACCGTACCTCGCTGACTTAACTTAGATATGGTAACATAGATGCGATAGTACCATCAGTCATGTGTTTTTTTACTACATCATTGTAATCTGATGTAGTACAACGACCTTGTAGCATAGACTTGTAGCATATCACCACTTTCCCCATCATAGCATATCACCACTTTCCCCATCATAGCATATCACCTTTTCCCCATCATAGCATATCACCACTTGTCCCCATCATAGCATATCACCACATTCTCCCATCATGGCATATCACCACTTTCCCCATCATAGCATATCACCACTTTCCCCATCATAGCATATCACCACTTCCCCCATCATGGCATATCACCACTTTCCCCATCATAGCATATCACCACTTTCCTCATCATAGCATATCACCACTTTCCCCATCATAGCATATCACCACTTCCCCCATCATAGCATATCACCACTTTCCTCATCATAGCATATCACCACTTTCCCCATCATAGCATATCACCACTTCCCCCATCATAGCATATCACCACTTTCCCCATCATAGCATATCACCACTTTCCCCATCATAGCATATCACCACTTTCCCCATCATAGCATATCACCACTTCCCCCATCATAGCATATCACCACTTTCCCCATCATAGCATATCACCACTTTCCCCATCATAGCATATCCCCTTTTCCCCATCATAGCATATCACCACTTTCCCCATCAAAGAATATCACCACTTTCCCCATCATAGCATATCACCTTTTCCCCATCATAGCATATCACCACTTCCCTCATCATAGCATATCACCACTTCCCCCATAATAGCATATCACCACTTTCCCCATCATAGCATATCACCACTTCCCCCATCATAGCATATCACCACTTTACCCCATCATAGCATATCACCACTTGTCCCCATCATAGCATATCACCACTTTTCCACATCGTCCCCAGCTGACCAGCATATGTCCAAATTATTTAACAAAGCCACGACATATAACATATAACATTCAACTAGATAATTGCCTTGTCCTGTCTGGTCCCAATTAGTTTACACGGCCAGGTCATATTTCACTAAGAATATATTTGACCTCGCTGACCTGTAAAAATCCAGATGACCAGGCATTAATGTGACAGTTAACAATGTGTTATGTAACTCAATCTATCAAGGTGAAATGTCAACTGTTGACTGTTTGATTACCAGTATGAGCTAGTACATATGGCGTACTAACAAACAATAACCTCTGATCCCGATGTTCAGCCTTAGCCCAGAAACCAAAACAACGTTGACCCTAAATGAGTTGAGTTAAATGATGTAGCGCTGACCAACATCAATGTTTGAACTGCGATGGTCAGTCTTGGCCCGGTAACCAAAACATATTTGACCCGAACTGACCACAATCTTGGCCCAGGTGAGTTTTATTCGGTCATGACGCACTGACCAACAGCCTTCAAACCCAGACTTGGTCCAGTGACCAAAACAACTTTGACCCTAACTGACCATAATCTTGGTAGGGTGAGTTGTATTCGGTCATGACGCACTGACCAACAGCCTTTGAGCCCAGATGACCAAAGTGTTGGTCAAGGTGAACTTGGTTAAATCTTGACCCAGAGAATAGCAACACCGTATGACATAGGTGGCATGTCTTGGGTTAAGTGATCAAACTCTGGCTTGACTGATCACTGTCCTGAGCAATGTGAAAAACTGTTCTGTCCATTATTTGAACACATAATACAAACACGCATAGTGATTTGGTACATACAAACAATAAAAGTTGAAGATTAACGCGGGGCGTAGTCAGGGTTTAGTGACAGGAAGAGTGGCGGGTGAGTATATATATATATATATATATATATATATATATATATATATATATATATATATATATATATATATATATATATATATATATATATATATATAGACGATGTGAAGAATGAACGCTGAAGCATTGTAGCACCATAATTGACAAAATACAGGAACCGGTGAAAGAAAGCGCTGTGTACATTTCTTCTAAATCCCGTCCCCCACATCCCATCCCCCCCCCCATAGATTGAGGCTGGGGACGGTGATAATGCCGGAGACAGACATACATCAGACTTCCAAAGATGGACGCTCAACCATAATAACTTCACGGCTATTTTTAGCCCGCGCAGCGCCTCGCGTCTCATTACGGGAACTAATTGTGCATCGACGTGACCTTGAACTTTGCCTTCAGAGATGTCGAAAAAGCTCGAGAAAAAAAATATCGTGCATCAAACGCTATCTGATGTGATAAGATAGCCCTATTTTTTTCTCTTATTTTTTTGTTTACTTCCTGTGAAAGATTAGCCGTGTTTGCTGCTTGCAATATTTTAAATACAAACTTGAATGACAGACATTGGATGACAAAAGATGACGTCATGAGCCTTTCGTCTTCTGGCCAGTGGATCCATTTGCTCCGTGAAAAGATCTGCTGCTGGCGTGTTTTTGTTTTGTTGCTTCGCGGATTTGGAAAGAATGATTCGCGCGGGAGAAATAAATATGTTTTGATGGAATATTTAAGGTATGGTTTGTGTTTGTGAGGTCTGCGTTTGTCTGCTTGTGACGTCAATGAGGTTTGTGTTTGAGATCGGAGGTTTGTGTTTGTGTGGTTGTGACGTTTGTGATTTTTCAATTTTTTAAAACTGTCGAGTGTACCTAGACATCAAATATTAAATTATCAGACCGTATTATTTCAATGTAATCTCAATATCAAAATCCTAAAGATTCGATCAGTTTACTTAAAGAAAGAATATTTAGTGATTGATTTTTGCTTAGGGGAATAATATGAAATAAGATATAATTATATGAATTAAGATATACTAATAAGAAATAAGATATAATAATATGACATAAAATATAATAGTATGAAATAAGATATAATTATATGAATTAAGATATACTAATAAGAAATAAGATATAATAATATGACATAAAATATAATAATATGAAATAAGATATAATTATATGAATTAAGATATACTAATAAGAAATAAGATATAATAATATGACATAAAATATAATAATATGAAATAAGATATAATAATATGAAGTAAGATATAATAATATGAAGTAAGATATAATTATATAAAATAAGATATAATAATCTGAAATATGATATTATAATATGAAATAATATATAATATGAAATAAGAAATAATAATATGAAATAAGATATAATAATATGAAATAAAATATGATAATATGAAATAAGATATAATAATATGAAATAAGATGTGTGCCAGAGTAAACACAATATCCGTTTACAAAAAGTTTTAAGAAAACAATGGTTGTCTACAGAGTCCAATGCAAACGAAGAATTGATAGAGTTGATTTTCGGCAACTTTACATTCACCGGAGACAGCCGGAAGACAGAAATTAAGAAAAAAGGAAAGTTAACATTTATCCAGGAGGTGGGAGGTAAATCCGATTGTTCACAGGAAGTAAATGGGGATGTAGGACGGGGAGGGGGGGGTGTCTAGGTGGGCGACTGGAAGGAGTTGGACAATTTAGAAAGGGGAGGGTCATCTGGGTGAGTGGACATAGGTTGTAAGAGTGGACATATGGGAGTAGGTTGTAAGACTAGACCTATGGGAGTAGGTTGTAATAGTGGACATATGGGCGTAGGTTGTAAGAGTGGATATATGGGAGTAGGTTGTAAGAATGAATATATGGGAGTAGGTTGTAAGAATGAATATATGGGAGTAGGTTGTCAGATTGAACATATGGGAGTAGGTTGTAAGAGTGGACATATGGGAGTAGGTTGTAAGAGTGGACATATGGGAGTAGGTTGTAAGAGTGGACATGGGAGTAGGTTGTAAGAGTGGACATATGGGAGTAGGTTGTAAGGGTGGACATTTGTGAGTAGGTTGTAAGAGTGGACATTTGTAAGTAGGTTGTAAGAGTGAACATACGGGAGTAGGTTGTAAGAGTGGACATATGGCAGTAGGTTGTAAGAATGGACATGGAAGTAGGTTGTAATCTACAACATTTTGTTAATATATCTTCTACTTGAATTCCATTGAAGATGTACTAATCTCGCTGTTCGACACAGTCAAAGACTGATGGAATCTGAACCAAAATACTGCCAGATATTCCAGGGCAAGCCCGCGGCACGGTGTGGAGTAATCAACTTTGTAATCAGTAGCGTAACACGCCCCCTCTTAACCTAATTACCCCCTCTCTTGTAAGCTAAATAACAATCTCCTCCCCCGCTGGGGTCGAGGTTTTGATTTTTCACTTTCAGCTGAGCAGACGAGAGTTCTAACTATGCAGACGTGAATAATGAGCTGACTTAAGGTAGAGAGGCGGTGAGGGTAGTGCTGGGGTCAGATTTGGTAGAGAGTAGGTGCCACATAGTATGTGAAATTTGAGGAGTTGGGGGAGGGATACACATTTACTACTAGAAACTTTAAATAGCGTACCAATACTTTGGTACTATCTGTCACCAATTCAAAAATAAGGTTGGGTAGAATCACTGTCTCTGTGTGTGCGTGTGAGGGGGGGGGGGGGAGTGTAAGGTGGGGTAGAATCTGTATGGGATGATTTTGGGATAGAATACCTGTGTGGGGGGGGGGGGTGAGGTGGGGTAGAATCTGTGTGGGGGTGATCTTGGGATAGAATACCTGTGTGTGGGGGGTGAGGTAGGGTAGAATCTGTGTGTCTGTGCGGAGAGGGAGGTGAGAAAGGGTAGAATCTGTGTTTGTATGTGTGTGGAGGTGATATTGGAATCTGTGTGTACAGGGAGGGGATGTACGGTGGGTGTAGAATATGTGTGTGTGGGGGGTGATATTGGCTTAGAATATCTGTGTGTGGGGGGTGAGGTGGGGTAGAATCTGTGTGTGTGTGTGTGCATGGGGGTGGGGGTGAGACAGGGTAGAATCTGTGTATGTGCGGGGGGGGGGGGGATGGCTGAGGTAGAGTAGAATCTGAAAATGAACTCACCCGTTGCCATGGTACAGACGGCCAGTATCAGAAATATCCAGGTCACCCGGCTGGGCACTGCGAGAAGGTCCAAACATTCAGCCATTCCGAGGGTGCCGGTACGTGGGGGGACACATCGTGGTCCTGTCGTCTGGGTGCCGGGGTTCTACTCTCTGGTGTAGGGGTCTTCTGGGGTGTAGGGATCTTGTCTTCTGGGGTGTAGGGGTGCTTTCTTCTGGGGGGTGTAGGGGTCCTGTCTTCTGGGGTGTAGGGGTTTTGTCTTCTGGGGTGTAGGGGTGCTTTCTTCTGGAGTGTAGGGGTCTTGTCTTCTGGGGTGTAGGGGTGCTTTCTTCTGGAGTGTTGGGGTGTTGTCCTAGGGGTGCCGGGGTCCTGTCTTCCGGGGTGTAAGGGCCCTGTCTTCTGGGGTGCTGGTGGTACTGCCGTTTGGGGAGCCGGGGGTTTCTGTGCTCAGGGACGCTTGGGGTCCCCTTGTGGCACTTTAGTTTGTGTGGTCCTATTGTCTTGCGGTTCTTTGATGTGATGGAGGGAAACGCCTTTGTCGTGGTGAAGTAGAGTTGCTGTAGACACTCTAAGCTTTTGGTGTGATGTGAAGGGTTTACTCTTTGGTGAGGCAGAGAGGTTGACTGAGATTCTAGAGAGAGAGAGAGAGACAAAAGTTACACGGTTACTGATTGATGAAATTTAGAGTTTTAGTGTCTAAAGTTTTCGTTATTCTAGTTTTCTCGCCTGTTCAACTTCCTATTGAGTTTTTAGTATTGAAAACAAAAACAATGAAAAAACACCATCGTAAGTTGTCTGTCTGCCTTGTTGGGCTGTGTCAGTTGTTGTCTGTCTTGTTGGGCTGTGTCAGTTGTTGTCTGTCTGTCTTGTTGGGCTGTGTCAGTTGTTGTCGGTCTGTCTTGTTGGGCTGTGTCAGTTGTTGTCTGGCTTGTTGGGCTGTGTCAGTTGTTGTCTGTCTGTCTTGTTGGGCTGTGTCAGTTGTTGTCTGTCTTGTTGGGCTGTGTCAGTTGTTGTCTGTCTGTCTTATGGGCTGTGTCAGTTGTTGTCTGTCTTGTTGGGCTGTGTCAGTAGTCTGTCTTGTTGGGCTGTGTCAGTTGTTGTCTGTCTGTCTTGTTGGGCTGTGTCAGTTGTTGTCTGTCTTGTTGGGCTGTGTCAGTTGTTGTCTGTCTGTCTTGTTGGGCTGTGTCAGTTGTCTGTCTGTCTTGTTGGGCTGTGTCAGTTGTTGTCTGTCTGTCTTGTTGGACTGTGTCAGTTGTTGTCTGTCGTGTTGGGCTGTGTCAGTTGTTGTCTGTCTGTCTTGTTGGGCAGTGTCAGTTGTTGTCGGTCTGTCTTGTTGGGCTGTGTCAGTTGTTGTCTGGCTTGTTGGGCTGTGTCAGTTGTTGTCTGTCTGTCTTGTTGGGCTGTGTCAGTTGTTGTCTGTCTGTCTTGTTGGGCTGTGTCACTTGTTGTCTGTCTGTCTTGTTAGGCTGTGTCAGTTGTTGTCTGTCTGTCTTGTTGGACTGTGTCAGTTGTTGTCTGTCGTGTTGGGCTGTGTCAGTTGTTGTCGGTCTGTCTTGTTGGGCTGTGTCAGTTGTTGTCTGTCGTGTTGGGCTGTGTCAGTTGTTGTCTGTCTGTCTTGTTGGGCTGTGTCAGTTGTTGTCTGTCTTGTTAAGCTGTGTCAGTTGTTGTCTGTCTGTCTTGTTGGGCTGTGTCAGTTGTTGTCTGTCTTGTTAAGCTGTGTCAGTTGTTGTCTGTCTGTCTTGTTGGGCTGTGTCAGTTGTTGTCTGTCTGTCTTGTTGGGCTGTGTCAGTTGTTGTCTGTCTTGTTAAGCTGTGTCAGTTGTTGTCTGTCTTGTTGGGCTGTGTCAAGTGTCTGTCTTGTTGGGCTGTGTCAATTGTTATCTGTCTGTCTTGTTGGGCTTTGTCAGTTGTTGTCTGTCTTGTTGGGCTGTGTCAGTTGTTGTCTGTCTGTCTTGTTGGGCTGTGTCAGTTATTGTCTGTCTTGTTGGGCTGTGTCAATTGTTATCTGTCTGTCTTGTTGGGCTTTGTCAGTTGTTGTCTGTCTTGTTGGACTGTGTTAGTTGTCTGTCTTGTTGGGCTATGTCATTTGTCTGTCTTGTTGGGCTATGTCATTTGTCTGTCTTGTTGGGCTCTGTGTGTGTTGAAGTCTTTCTGTTAGGGGTTGTGTGCTGCTGAATCAAATAGAGTTTCCAGTGAAATCCCGCAGCTTCTAATATTGATTTTAAATGATATTTTAAAAGTATTCAATGATCTTCCTGGTTTTCTTGTTACTATTGTATTTCTATGTATTTTTAACGACCTTTGGGAAATCCCCGTAAATACATTCTAAACAACCAATCAAAACCTTTTATAACTAAGACACATTAACCTTCAACGTAAAACAATTCCAACCATATTTAAACATATAATTGTTACGAAACAATGATGAAGTACATTATGTAAAGGATTATTTAATTATATATATATATATATATATATATATATATATATAAATATATATATATATATATATATATATATATATATATATATATATATATATATAAATATATATATATATATAATACGTTAGAACTAAATGTCCATCTAGCAATATTTAAACTTTGTGTCAAAAAGATAATGTAAGAATCCACAGGTAGTTGTTTTCTTTAGTGGCGTAGCGAGGGGGGGGGGGGGGGGCAGGGTGGGGGATGCGGACCGCACCGGGTGACACCACTTAAGGGTGACACCAAGGCAAAAAATAGCAAAATATATAGAGAAAAATGAAAATTACACTTAATTAAGTGATTAATTCGAATGTTAAAAAGTCTTTTAAGAGCAAATTCGAAAGTTTGAGAGGGGGAATGCAAATCGAAAATAGGAAGTTTGTTCCCGGGCGCCGGGAAGGGTCGCTACGCCTCTGGGGGGTGACACCAGTGCCGCACCGGGTGACACCCGACCTCGCTACGCCACTGATTTTCTTTAATGGTATGCGTAATGGTTTGATCAATTTTAATACCAATAATAATAGCCGTAATAATATAATTATTATAATTATTTTTATAGTTATTATAAAATGTTATTTTTATTTGCTTTATTTTGCAAGTTGTAGACAGATTGTAAAAAAATAAAATTCATTTAAAAACAAATAAAAACATAAATTACAAAAAAAATTAATAGGATTTTGTTGTAACCCAATTTATGAGGCAATAGAATATTTCATGATTAGATCGTATAATTAGATTGGGGAGATAATTGCATACTTTGGCGCCTGAGCATGCAAAGCTGTCTTTGGAGAGAATAAATGTATTTGAAATGGATCCTTGCTCCCTAAATGTTTTATGTCAAGATCTTTAGTAAGATCAAAGAAAAATGTATATTTAACTGTCTTCTAGGGCATTTGAAATGTGTTATTATATTAGTTGTTTCAAATAATCGTTTATTAAGTTTTTAAAAACGAGTTGTCGTTTGTATTTGTTTCGCTAATGTGTGTGTTTAGAGAGGTAGCAACATTTAATTAGCCCGTCTGTGACGCTTAACTAAAAATAAACCGAAATTACTCGATCATTGGGAGAAATCAATTCCGCTAGAGGGCGTGGGAAAGTTCATAAGTGATGTCAAAAATGACGGAAGGTTAATTATAGAGTAAGATAAATTCACTCTGTAACGAGTTTTATTTAAATACTCCAGTAAAGGAATGTTCGCTAGTTTAGGACGAGAGGGTTCGTTCAAAGGATGTAAGATAGAAGTTTCCAGTTAATGTAGGGTTCGCTCGTGTGAGATAAGAAGTTTCCAGTTAATGTAGGGTTCGTTCGTTAGGATTAGAAATTTCCAGTTAAAGTAGGGTTCGTTCGTTAGGATTAGAAATTTCCAGTTAATGTAGGGTTCGTTCGTTAGGATTAGAAGTCTTGTAAAAAGAGGGTTCGCTCGTGTAAGATTAGAGGTTTCCAGTTAATGTAAGGTTCGCTTGTGTGAGATTTGAAGTCTTGTAAAAATAAGAAGGTTCGCTTGTAAGAATAAAAACCTTGTTAAAAGAAAAATCGCTTGTGTTAGATTATTAAAAGCCTCGTGAAAAGATGTCGTAAAACAGGGTCGCTTGCATAAGATAAAGACTCGCAAAAAGAAGATTCGCTTGCATATGATAAAGACTCGAAAAAAGAAGGTTCGCTAACGTAAGATTAACTCGAAAAGTCGTGGTTTTTGTTGCTTGTCAACTTTTACAGTGCTCAGGAGCTGTAATTGATTATGTTACAGTGGTATGGGAGCTGTAATTTATTATGTTACAGTGGTATGGGAGCTGTAATTAGGTATGCGTAGTGCTTCACGAGCCGTAATATTATACTAGCAGTGGTATACAAGCTGTAAGCGGTGCTTTGAGAGACGAGTATTGATATCACTCCTCTTCTAACCGGATTATTATTTATTTTAAATTCTACCCCTCCACCATGCCATTTCCCAACCGTTTTTATCAATCGTCGCTCACCCTTCAACTGCCATCTAAAGCTCGCTCAACAGCGGATGAGCTGACACTCATCGAGTCACAGAATGGTGCTTACAACAAGAGCCACACAACCCCCCCCCCCCCCCCCGTCATAGAATGTTGCATACAACAAGCGCCACACAACACTCCCACCCCCCCCCCCCCCTAAACAGCGCCCGATTAGGATAATAGCACGTCTCCATTTCCCTGCCGGCCTCATCTCTGCCGGTTAGACAATGCCGGTCTCATCTCTGCCGGTTAGACAAAAAAAAAAAATCTATTAACGTGCTCCTCACAAGGGACAGAGCGGTATAAAAAGTGGCCGACATCTATTTATTTTATTATTAGATTTGTTTCCTTGATTAGAGCCTCGCTTCTTTGAAAGTATGACAGAGTAAAGGTAATTAAATAGCGTCAAATATAGATTTGAAAGTATGACAGAGTAAAGGTAATTAAATAGCGTCAAATAGAGATTTGAAAGTATGACAGAGTTAAGGTAATTAAATAGCGTCAAATATAGATTTGAAAGTATGACAGAGTTAAGGTAATTAAATAGCGTCAAATATACATTTGAAAGTATGACAGAGTAAAGGTAATTTAATAGCGTCAAATATAGATTTGGGTTAAAATGCTGCTCGTTCTCAGTTTATGATAGGCGTCTGTGACGATGTATATAAAACTTGTCTTGTGACGTTGGTGTAAAACTTGTGACGTTGGTGTAAAACTTGTGACGTTGGTGTAAACCTTGTGACGTTGGTGTAAAACTTGTGACGTTGGTGTAAAACTTGTGACGTTGGTGTATAAAACTTGTCTTGTGACGTTGGTGTAAAACTTGTGACGTTGGTGTATAAAACTTGTCTTGTGACGTTGGTGTATAAAACTTGTCTGTGACGTTGGTGTATAAAACTTGTCTTGTGACGTTGGTGTATAAAACCTGTCTTGTGACGTTGGTGTATAAAACTTGTCTTGTCTGTGACGTTGGTGTATAAAACTTGTCTTGTGACGTTGGTGTATAAAACTTGTCTTGTGACGTTGGTGTTAAAAACTTGTGACGTTGGTGTATAAAACTTGTCTTGTCTGTGAAGTTGGTGTATAAAACTTGTCTGTGACGTTGGTGTATAAAACTTGTCTTGTGACGTTGGTTTATAAAACTTGTCTTGTGACGTTGGTGTA